CTTCCAGAAACGCTGCCCCTGCGGCGCGGCGGAGCTCCGGAGAGGCGACTGCCGCAGCAGGCAGCCCTGAAAGAAGACAGGAGCCGTCGTTCTGACTCACCGCAGGCTAACGCAGGGCCTGCTCGCGCGTTTTTATTTCAGGGGAGCCGTCCAGGCACGAGTCCCTCAGAGGGAACCGACCATCGGTCACCTTTCACAACGGAAGACAGAGCAATAAGTTGTGTGTGATAAAGCACGTTGTTTTTAACCAAACAATTACAAAATAACCGCTCAGACTTCTTTCTTGGCTAGGAAGTGGGACGTTCCTTGTCGTCCATTATAACTCTCAAGATCCAGGGTTAAGCCTGCGCAGCTTTAAAAGAACAGACGCTACAAAAATTTGGATATGTTTATTTAAAATTTAAAACTTTTAATCACCACTTTATTACAATGATTACCTGAGTTTGTTATGTGACACAAATATTTAGATTAAGAACTTGATGATCCAAACAAGACTTTAAGGATATACACTTCATACACATAGCAAAGTTGGTAAATACTACAAGATGAGGCTGTAGTAACTGTCTTTTTTAATCTATACTTAGTTTCTCATGATTTTCCCAGAGCCATGCATGATATATGTTTAACTTGTGATCCTGTGGCTGCACCTAAAACATAAATAAAACATCTAACATTTACTAAAATGTCTTCACTTAAAATACTTCACAGTTCTGAAGCATATACCAAAGGTATTTCCCCTCCCAGCTCAGGACATTTTTAAAGCTCACAGATATTAGTGAAATATGATGCCACACATTACACAGGGAAGCCTCTGCATACATAAACTAAAGAATATAATGTTTGCACAGCCATGAAACAATGTCTTCATAAACTAGGAAGGAAGTCATGTGCCTGATAGCAAAATGACCCTTTAACCACTCCTCACAATTTTCTGCAAGGAGAGAAACCAGCATAGCGAGGACCCAGTGAAAACAGATCTCAGAGGGAATGCCAGGCTCCTGCTGACATTAAATATATGGAACTCAATTCTTCGCTAGAGCAGGGAAGAGAATCTCACCTCCACGTTAACAAAATAAAAAAAATCAGTGAAAAAAAAGAAAATTACAGAAAAATCAAGGTGATGTGAGCCTTCATTTACAGGATGAGACTCTTAAAAGGTACATTCTGTAAATTCAATTAATTGAAGATGAAAATTTGCTATAATTTTATTTAATTCACGTGATTACTGATTACATCTGTAAAAGTCCAATGAAGCCGAAGGACAGACTGCCTCTGCTTTGAGCATGTTTTGCATCAAGCCCTTCAAGAATGACAGCATCACATACCTCTTTCCATTCATTGACACAGAAGATTCTGTAAGAGTCGTTTCCGTATTTTCCAATCCCGTGCAGTTCAATGGGGTACCTCCACTGCTTGGTCAGATACTCATCTAGAACATATAGTCACATACTTCACTACGTACAGACAAGCGGATCACAGAAAGCAAGTCTAGGCAAAATCCTGATTCTCTGTTATGGTCCCAAACCTGTTTTAGAACATTTTAAATGAAAAACACTACAAGTTTTAGCTGTTTCCTAGCCAAAGTAGGTGAAGAGTCCCCTTGGGTCCATCACAAAACATCTTTCAAACAAATCACTGTGGGTGAATTTTAAATAAATCTCTCCCCTCGGAATCCACAGAGGAATGCTTTTATTTTAAGTATGAAGTACAGAAAGTATATAGAAAAATTTAGGCAGGAATGGTCTTCTGGAGGTCATCTGATATGAACCAAAGCAGAGCCATCTTATCATAGTGTTGGAAAACACAAAACCAGTCTTGGAGATACCCGTTAACTTTTTCCACTCAAACAATTCTCCTCAACGAAGGTCTCTTGCAGAAGTCATTATGTATGTTATTTTATTCTCAGTTAAGGCAATAGGACGGGCAGCTTTACACAGACAAGACCAACGTATCCCAAAGCTGCATAAAATAAGACAACACCAATATTTGCCAAACTGAAGGCCACAGAGCACTGTTTGAAAACAATGCTGTTTCTTTGCTAATATAATTTAGACCATTCAACAACCATACTCAGGAAAATCTACCTGAAAACTTGATTATAGTTTTTGCTCTGAGTTCATAGAGGCCGAGAGGTCTGAGCAACTCTGACATTTCTTTCCAGTCTGCAGTTCTCGTTATTTCAGGAGAAGGATATTTCTTAAGGAACTCCCAGAGCACAGGAATTGCCGCCTTACCTAGCCAAAGAAATCACTGTGAACAGAAGACTGTGCAGGTAATTCTCTTTTGTGGTTATCTGTGCATGTTTTTAGAAGTGAACTTTTGCTGACTTAGGATTTACTTTTTGGGTTTTTTTACATTAACACAAGCTGAAATGCATTTCATCTTTCATTAATGCCATAAAAAATTTGGCAGCTGTTCTGACCCTATGACAACAGCACCCCAAACACTTACCCAACACAAAATCGTATTACTCTGTTTACCTGAGGTCTTATTGAGAAATATAGTTGCAATGAGGAGTTTCCATGGATCATGGAAAAGAGTTTCTTGGACCAAGTTAAAAGGAGAACGTGGAGGAGTCCATTTTCTGAAGGCCTTCCTTCTAGGTGGGCTCGGAGCTGTACACAAAGGCAATATGGGAAAAGTTATTGGGCAGTAAAGGACGGATTAATCTATTTAAGAAAATAATTAGAAAAAGAAAGAACTTTTGGAGCAGATTCATCTTTGTGGGAGCACTGTATGTGGATGGAGCACTAGCAATTCACTCGCTCTCCTTTACAACACTGCAAGGACTGTGTGTCCATGGCATAGTCTACAGTAAGAGCGAAGGCTGCCTGTATCTGTGGCTCTGTGTTTCAAGGGTACACATCCTTTCGGAGAAGAAGGGCCCTTCACAGCTAACTTCACCTTCTTCTGTAAGTACAGAGCTGTAGCCACAGAGTACAGGGTTTCCCCTTGACAGGAAAAACACCTCCGTGGTCTACAAAGAACCTTCCCAAAGCCCACTCAGTCCATCCTCTTATAGTTACTGAAAGAGCTACTGAGTCATTTTATATTAGGCATAATGGTTGTTTGCAAGATACAAACCACCAAGGTTTAAAATGGGACAAGATCAGCACTTGTGCACTAAGCCTAGCTCTCCAATGCCACAGAGCATGGCTATACTTTAACTAGTCTAAAACTGCACGAAATTTTCTGTAACATTACTTGATCTTAAGCCACCGTATTCCTCCCTGCATAAAACAGAATTTCTTTTCCTAAGGAATATTATACCTTCTTTACAGCATTTACTTGAAAAATACGGACTTGTTTTCCTCTTTTCCACCTGTGTTCGTGGAATAGATTCTTCTGTAAAGAAATAATACTTTAGCGTTATTTCTGTCACAATTAGAAAGAAAAAAAAACATAAAATATTTGGCTTTTAGGTTTCATATGCTATTTTCTTTTTATGTTGTGATGGGAATACAAGGCTTTCGAGTAGTTGTGTAGAATGTAAATGCACTTTGGATTCAGCCCAGTCCTTCAGTATTTCAGCTCTATGAAGTATCTTCTTAAGAGAAACCATTACTTTGCAACAGCCTGAGGAAACATGTTCAGCTACAGTCAAAGATTAAATGTTCTCCACAACCTACTGTCATATGAAACAAACTAAAACTAAGTTGTTTCATGTATCAAAAACTGACCAGTACAGCAGCATTAAAAGAGCAAATGCAAGGAAGGTAATGATCATTATTATATTATATCATAAAGCTGAAGAGACCAACAGCGTAAGTTCCAGTTGTGAATAAATCTACATTAAGTTAAATGCTGCAGGATAAAGAAATGAGAGATTCCCACAGGAGCACATACAGATCTCTTCATCTGGATGGATGAAGTATGTCCAAGCACAAAGCAGCTCCATCTGAAACAGAATACTTTTCTGCTAAAGTTCAGGAATACCGCTAGCAAAATGTTAGAATACTCTACTCAAAAACATATATGTACCTTGCAGCATTTTAACTTCTGTGAGGATTTTCTTGTCACAAGGCTGCAAAATGTTAACATCCGTTTCAGTGTTGGATTCAAAATCCTGGTTATCTAGATTCACTTGATCTGTCTCTTTCCCTATTTCCAGTTCATCAGTCTTCTCCTCAGACTTTGCAGAAGATGCTTCATTAAAACTTTTCTCTATGCACTCCAGCTCAGCTGGGCTCTTCAACTCCTTTTCCAAGGGAGCTGTGACTGATCCTAGCTGTATGTCTGACTGTGATCCAGAAATCAGTAATTCCTCTGTTAAAAGAGTTTTTCTTTTTCCTGCATCCACAGGGTCTGTGTTGTGGTCATCTCTCCCTTGACTGTTAGGGACACCTATGTCCTTCTTTCTGCAGAATTTCTTGTTCTGAATGCACTCAGTTTCTTGTTTGTTACATACTTTTCTCTGTCTTTTGGTTCGGGTATTATCTGCATTCTTCTTTTCTGAGCTCTTTCTAGTTTTCTTACTCTGAACACTTTTTCCAACTGCCCCTTTTTTTTTGGTTTTCAAACAGTCCTCTGGTTTTACTTCTTTCACGACCAAATCCTTACTACTGCAAGTGGTTGTAGCAGCAACATCTCCCAGCCGTTCATTTCCAGTTTGAACCTTATGAATTTTATCTTCTTCACCATTCTGTACACTAAGGTCCTGTGCTTGACTCTGACGATCCTCCTCCTGTAAACCAGCTCCCACAGCTTTTGAGCTGCATCTTTTGGCCCCTGAACGGGTGCTGCTCCGAGATGGCGCAGTAAAATCAAAATCTTCTGCTTTTAGAGTTGTCTCTCCAGTTTTACGAAAATAATTCACAAGCGCACCTTTTGATCTTAGCTTATGTCCTTCGGGACTGCAGTATTAAAGAAAAGTAAATGATGAGAGATGGCTTTTTCAGCCTCTTGCTCTTCGCTTCAACAACTACCTTGTTATAAAAACGAACCACCACCACCACCACCGCCCGCCCTACCTGACGAAACACACGTCGTACTTCCTTGCTGTTCTTCCCGACC